TGATTTTCTTCGCTTTGACTTTCAGAAGCTCTGACCTGTTCCTTGGGTGACGTGGACTGCGAGCATTCGGTCTGCCTTAGCAACGCCTTGCAGTGTGATACCATCTCAGACTGTCTAGATGGCACTGATGAGCTGGACTGCGGTAATGATAAAATTATAAACGTTGTTTTGGTGAATCACCTTCTTTTTTCTAAGAGAAAAAAAATTATCAGGAGGTTCCAGTACTCCTGTGACAGCTGATACTACACAGGTATACTCTAGATCCATACCTTTGGCAGTCTGTCCGATTACCAGACCTGACAGTTGAGTAAACAAGTTCAAACTTGCTCATCAAAGGTTCTTTTTACCACCTACGACCCGGGTATGGAACTCTCTTCCTGCCCACATACCCACTATCAGAAAACAAACCAGCTTCAGTAGGCAGGTAAATCGCTGGGCGACAAGCCGTCAGTAGTCTCTTTTAGTCAATAATGTTTCTTGCTGTTAAGGCCCAGATATGCGTTTCATAAAAAAATAATAATAAATCAGATTTATTCATGATGTTCTCTACAAAGGAGAGAAAGTCAGTTTTTGTTTCGGCTTTCTTTTCAGATAAAGACCGTTTGCTGTTTATTCCGGCCAATGAGACAGCACACATTAGCTCGACGTCATATCCAGACAACTACCCCAGCAACCTCAATATCACTTGGATCGTCCAAACCGAAGTGGGTTGGAAGATTCGCATTAAATTCTCCAGCTTTTCAATCTCTACTTACATGTACTACGGTGGTGATGTTCTCCATGCAGGAGATGGTAGCATTGCAGCCAACACTCAGTTTTTTAAGTGGCATGGGTACAGAACGCCTCCCGATCTTCTATCCACTGGCAGTGACATGTGGCTTCGATTTATCTCTGACAATTATTACAGCGGCTCTGGATTTTCTTTAGTGGCTTCTTCTGTACCTTCTTCAGGTAAGCAAATCTACCAAGGGTACATGTTTTTGATGTAAATTCCTATAGCAAGGTGTCGAAGACAACCTCTTGGGTAATATTAAAAATAAAAACAACTCTGTGAATTAACTGTTAGCCTTTTCGGTCCGTCAGTGCATGAAAAAAAAATCTGCGTGACTTGTAATTATTCACGTTGGTTTGTAAATCAACGCTGATACACACAACAAATATTCTGAGTAAAGAGACGCATGAATTCTGAGTAAAGTTGACTCACAGATGACACACTTAACCAATGCGTTATTAATTGTTATATAACCGACATACAGATCCTTGTCATTTGATTGGTGGAACTCACATCACGTGGCATTCGTTATTGCTCCCATTCATGCCGCGGCTCAAAAAGTACTATCCACCCATGGGGAATGGGAAATACTATTCAACAGTTAGGATAATTTGTGTGCAAATGCATGCTGGTGTGCGCGTTCAGCGTTACGTGTAGCGCGTATTGTTCCAAGAGCCAGCGCTACAGCGTTGGGTTCAAACATTTTCGTGAAAGGGTGGTTTGGAAGAGAGAATCACGTTTTCCTCCAGTTTTGTATTGAAAAAAAAAAAATTCAAATATATCAAATGACAAGGATCTATATGTCAGTTATATAAAACACATATTGAGTGGCTTTAAATTGTGAAATGGGAGAAATCTTATCGCTCGGTAAAATCTGGACTTTTCCAGTTCACTCGGCTTCGCCTCGTGAAATGGAAAAGTCCAGATTTTACCTTGCTATAATATTCCTACCATTCCACGCTAAGCCACTCAATATTTGTATGCTATACTCATTAAAACTCTTAAAATTACTCGCGTCTAATGATGCACCAAATAGGTATTATGTTGGAACACCCATAGTGACTAGTACAACGATTTGACTTCAGAACGCCACACCAAATGAGTAATCTGCAGAGATACTCGCTGGAAATTTACTCATCCAGCGAATCAAAATATTTGGGACGCACTTGGTGAGTAATTTAAAAATGACACACAGATGAGTAATTAGCATTAAATTAAAAAAAAACTTAAAGAAAACGTGTAAACCTGACACCAGAATGACACACAAATGAGTCAAGGTCATTTTACATCAGCCAAGCTTGACACACTTCTAGTGTGTCCATTTATTCGGCCTTTCAAATGCATAACAGACTTAAGATGTATCCTTGCCAACTGCAAGAAAGTAAGAGTGTGTCTGATACATTTGGATATGACATGTCATAAATGAAGTAGCTAGCCAACAACAGTGCATCATTTGTCCCCATTACTTGGAAGCGGTCCTGTTGTTCTGCATGAAACATGTAGTACTCCTCATTTGAAAGAAGGTCCTTCTCTTCCCCTAAGTACAGGACATTTGGCTGCACAGTAGGCTCATTCTATAAAAGAAATGGAAAGGAAAAACAGAATTCTGTCAACATAAATCAAACGACTATATTTGTCACCGTCACAATCATAAACACAATATCAAATTCCTGGTGCATTTGAAAACAGAAATTTTGCTGTCAATGAGAAAAAGGAAGGTGGGGACAATTTTTTTCAAAGTACAGTTTTATGGGGTGCATTCTCAGTTTTTGAAACTGTCATGAATTTATTCATCAGTCTTACATCAGCTCTTAGGGCCTATTTGAGGGTAAGCAAAAAAAAAAAAAAAAAAAAAAAAAAAAAAAAAACCCTACCTTCTGGTCAATAATAGGCCTTCAGAGACTTCTGGATTCTCCTACGAAGAACAAAAGCAAATCAATGTTGCACCATGAAGCAATCTTAAAATCTGCAGGGAAAACAATTATAATTGGTTCCTTAGTATAATTTATGATAAACAATTTCAAGTTTGGGGAATCACATTGATTATACATGGTGCAAAATTGTTGGACCACTCTCCACAACACATTCAAGTATTACGAACACCCAAAGAGTAGATTGCAAATCACCAGCTGCTTCGAACATAATAATAGTGCACTTTGGATTGAACTCTAAAGCACGAGTTACATGAGTAGCCAACTGAATCAGTAAAGGTCATTACAACGACCAACGTCATACTTCATCATGAGATCAAAACAAACCTACGTACTGTGGTGGTGGTGGTGGGGGGGGGGGGGGGGGTCAGAGGTCACAGCTCCCAAATGGCATGGGGATTGCATGCACAAAGGAAAACTGGCCCACGACACTCTTGGGTTCGGCTTGACTGAGTATTTTATTCTCTGTGAAGTGGCGGTCGAAGAGCACCGACCGATGACGGAGGCGGGAGATTAGCATCATGAGAAAGGAAGGAATAAAAATAAAGGGATCATAAGTACAATGTAAGGTGATCTAATGCTGGCACCGGAAAACAATACATCTAATTAAAGGGAGCAATGGACAGGTTATGACGAAAACCCAGCGATGAATTGGAAAATAGTTGGAGCTAAAAGAAACAGTTTTTTCTTCAAAGTCACCCATGTTAACCTACATAATTTCTCTAGTACGAGGGGAGTTCAATAAAGTGCATGTCGAGCGAGAAAATACATGTGTTACTAGTGTCATATTCATAGCACACCAGAAAGGGGCAGATAAAAACACATTACTGACAGAACAAAATCAATATATTTTGTACATTTTTGTAATTAGCACAAAGGACAATTTGGTCACACAATGCAAATTCAGAAAGTACAAAATTCTCTAAGGCAAAAATAAGAAAGGCACAAATATACTTGAGTCTCATATTCATCACAAATAAGGGTGTCTCAGTGCTACACTTCATCTCTTCAGGCATAATTACATGCATAAAGTACATCCAACTCATGGTTAGCGACTTCACTTAATAATGGGGGCGCTATTTAGTAAACACGACCGAGCAATGAATTACAAAAAATCTCGGAAGAGGGCGCTTTTTACCGAGCAAAACCGAGCGATGAATTATCATAAAAACCTCGGAATTTGCTTTAAAAGACTCCAATGTTCCGGTCTGACATATCACCACAATACAGGCCCATCAAAGAATAAATGCAAGACTATCATGTCAGCTTTAGATTCCTGACAAAAATAATAACTAGGAAAGTTACGGCACTTTTTATCACCGAGAGGTCTATATAGCAAGACTACTGGGTCGCCATCTTGGCCAAAGTTCGTAAAATGAAAACTCCCCAATGGCAGGGAAAATGCAACAGTTCGCCCCATCTGCAATATCACAAATATTCCCTGGTCTTTCCGGTTTAAGGACATATGACATATTTAATTCAAAAGAAAAGAAAACTGCAAAAAATGTTACCTGTGAAGTGGCGGTCGAAGAGCACCGACCGATGACGGAGGCGGGAGATTAGCATGACCCGCCTCCGCCCTGCGGTGGCGCCCTTCAAACTCACCGTAAAAGTTCAGGCTATACCTCGGGCGATGCCACCAACGGCTGAGCAACGGTCTACATAGAGGTGACGTTTCTTTATACACAGAAAAAATGGAGAACTAATGCAAGATTGATAATGATGAGGGATCGTCCATGCAATAATTTCAAATCTCAAATATCAGCTCCTTACAGTATGGTAACGTTTCCAATTGAGCAGCAGCAAAACATGGGCGCAAAATTACAAAACAAGTTTAAATTGGAGCTAGTGCTAAAAAGGAGTGAGATAAACAAATAAACCCTTACCTCCAACTGTAACAGAATCTGACAAAAGTTCCCATTTTTATTGACGCTTTTCCCCTCTAATTACTTGCATTTACTTGTTATAGAGCCTAGAATCATGCTACTACAATATACTGTTGAAGGAAGTTTCATTCCATTGTACATGTAGATAAGACATTGTATGTGTTTGGTGAACTGGCCTAGGTACTTGCTGCACACACTGGGTTGTTTATGTGCACAGCCATCTTTGTTATTGTTCAGTACATGTGCATTCTCAAGGAGGCAGCCATGTTTGTTTGGTCATGTGATCAAAGTTACTACATGTAAAACAGTCCAAACATTAAGTGAGAGGTCCTTTTTGATATTGTGATACTTTAGTTTGATTGTAATTTAGTTTTGTTGTTGACTATAGCGACTTTGAGGAAAATTGTGCAACTTTTACTTTTTTCCATAATGCATTGCTTCTTGCACATGGCCTGATTCTCCAACAATGTGCTCAGCAGTTTGCTGCGCTGAGGATGATTTAATCCGCTTTTTTCTGCAACCATCCTAAGATTATTTAGCACACCCACTACTGGCCCACGAGGTAAATATCCTACTTAGTAATATTGGATCAGTTTTACTCTCTTAAATGTAGGATTAAGTTAGAAAATAATGGTTTATTAAGTCATTAAGTAATTGTGTCTTTCATGCATGCATGCTATTTACTAGTATAGTAATGTAAATGTCCATTGTCATTTCTTTAGGTCATATGATATTATGAGTCTCATTGAATAATTCCTTGTGAAGACTAAATTTACCACATTAACCTTCAAATTGTTGGGATCTATACTTATAATTATCATTGTTATTTGCTTGTCAGATCTCACGGTGTTCATCTTTGGAGACAGTTCATTGTCAACATTAAAGTCAGACATGACAGAGACATCAGTACAGATCGTGTCTGCCTTCATTTTGCTTTGGTAGTTGGGTGCAGCTGCAGTGAGATCTCCACGCCACCTAGTCTAGATGTAGAGATTTCTCTAGTGAAGCGTGGAACGGAATCCAGAGAGCTGTCGGCTTGCTTACAGCTAGCCCATGACGAACAGAACGAGGCTAGGCGAGGGACGAGTAGCACAGACGGAATGCAGCAGATTCGAAATTCGAGCACGGGAACAGCATGCAGTACGTGAACCACCGGATCAGCGGATACCCGGTAAGACAGCGACGGAACCAGTCAAGGAGACGAGAGAGCTGATCCACATCGTCATGATTGTCCACAAGAAATGTCAGCCATGTCACCAGGACTAAACGCTAAACGAACTGTACAAGGAACTGTGAGCGGAATCCTTTAAAGAACAGTTGGTCATTGACGATTTCATAACCAAATAATGTTGTGAATGTATTTTATCTGGAACAAACGAATGTAAAGAGTGTACTTTATATTGTTTGGATCAGAGTTTCTAGATAATCTACCCTTGTTCAGCCTTGCATGAAGTCAGCTGTGTAAACATTAATTTCTGCTCTGTGTGATATATTGCTATAGTGTGCGAAAATCATTTGCATTTTGTTGTTCACTGTTGGACATCATTGTTTGCTAATCGATTTCTCCTCATTGCTCAATTTCACCCAATGGTGTAGTGTTGAATGCGTGTGTTGACAAGCTATTATTTTGTATGCATTGCAATTCACTTGAAGCTTGTTACACACAAAACCAATGCCATGTCATTTCATGAAATTGTTGTATGTTCATTTTGCATCAATCATGTGGCATTTGTAATGTAAGCCACATGCTCTTGTCATTTGCGAATTCTATTTCTGCCAAGTACTATTCCTAAGGTCCCAACATGTCGAGTAATGAAGTGGAGGATCAAGCTAAGGAGTTAGAAGAAGGAATAGAAGAATATTCTGCAGCTCTAGAGTCAGTAGATGATCCTGTAGAAAGAGAGAAAATTTTGAAAGATGTCAGCAGCAAGCAGGAAGAACTCTTCAAACTAAGCAAGCCTTCCGAGAGTGAAACCCGGAAAAGCAGCAGAACGAGACACCAAGATGGTGGAGCTTCAAGAAGCAGATAAAGTCAAAAGAGAAGGAAAACTAAAGAAAGTCTTCGCCCAAAATTACGAGTCGTGGAAGGAATGCTGTAAAAATGCAAGACAGAAGTTGAAGGGTTACTGCACAGGCTTTACACTGAATGACATGTCTTCATCGTTACACATCGCACGAGATGAGCTGATCGATGCATATGATGCTTGTCGACAACTTGGGCCCCCTGAACAGGAAATGCGACGCCGGGTCGACACATGCTCGGCTATAACACAACAGCTACTGACGGTTGTCGTCGCCAAAGAAGATGCAGCCACAACTCACATTTTCAGTGAGTTGAGACGGCTTCTGCACACTGATGACAACGCATTAATTTCTCCTCGAAAGCGTCAAGCCAAGTGTCATCTCACTGGTCTGAAAGTTCATCTGCCAGGCGGGCTAAGGCTGCTGCCGAATAAGCAGCCAGAAAGGCAGAAATCAAAGTGCTGGAAGTCAAACAGCAAAAGCAAGCAGAGCTAGATGAACTACAACGGCAACAAGAAGAAATGCAACGACTGCATGACAAGAAAAGGAGAGAAATAGAACGATTGGAAAAGGAAAAGGAGTTGGAGACGGCCCGTGCCCAATTTGAAGTATATGACCAGGAGTGCAAAGGCAGTCGAGAGAAGAGTCACAGCGGTGACTCTCCTGATGAGCCATCCCCTTGGCCAACCGAAGTGAAACACGAAACTCAAAAGAAACAACCAAGTCCAGTCCAAGCATCAGAAGGCGGTGAAGTAGCAGCTCTAGCCCGCAGTCTCTGAGATTGTATGACAATCCATAAGTTGCCTCCCCCAGAACCCAGCGTTTTTACGGGAGATCCCATCCGCTATGTTGAGTGGAAGGCGAGCTTCAAGACACTTATCGAGTCAAAGGCGATCTCCACACCAGAAAGAGTGTATTACCTTAAACGATACCTGGGTGGAGATGCACAGAAGGCTGTGGAAGGTTTCTTCTACAGCACATCAGACGAGAGCTATGAAGGTGCATGGCGTCTACTTGAGGAACGTTACGGACATCCTTTCAAAGTTCAGAAGGCCTTCCGTGATAAATTATCAAGGTGGCAAAAGATTGGCACAAAGGATGCCAACAGTTTGCAGCAGTTTGCAGACTTTCTTAAAGCATGCAAGGACGCCATCCCCCATGTCCCTGCTTTGAAGATACTTGATGATTATGAGGAGAACAGGCGTCTGCTCTCCAAATTGCCAGACTGGGCTGCAGCTCGATGGAATAGACAAGTTACAAAGAAACTTGATGAAACACTCAACTACCCTGGTTTCGAAGAGTTTGTCGAGTTTGTACGCAAGGAGGCCCGGGTAGCATGCAATCTAATCTCATCATTGCATGCAATGAAGGCAACAGACCAATCAGAGACAGAGCAGACACAAGGCAGCAGTAGAAGAGCCAACCGAAGCGGGGGTACAGCACTAACAGTTGGATCAAATGAGGTCAACAAGATGCCCAAGGAAGGCCAGACATCAACCAAGAGCAAGTTCCAATCAAAACCATGCCAGAATTGCAGGAAGACAGATCACCACATCGATAAATGCCCTGGCTTTGGCACTAAATCTTTTACTGAAAGAAGAAAATTCATCCAAGAAAACAGATTGTGCTTTGTGCTGCCTCAAGAAAGGTCACATGTCCAAGGAATGCCGACGAAAACTGACTTGCGATAAGTGCAAGAGAAGGCACCCTACAATCCTGCATGACGATGCACTGATGCGGAGCGATGACTCCAACCACATGGAGAAGTCGCCAAAGGGAGAGAAACCCAAAGAAGTTGCGGTTGTGTCATGTGGCGTCCAGATGGGAAGTGGATGGGGGACTTTAATGATAGTCCCAGTGTGGGTGTCGTGTGTGGATTCTCCTTCAATGGAAGTCTTGACGTATGCCCTACTAGACACTCAGAGCTACTACACATTCATTTTAGACAACACTGTCAGTTCTATTGCGGCGCGTTGTGAGTCAGTACGACTTAAACTTGCTACGATGACTTCGGCGTCCTCCATGATTGATTGCAGTGCAGTCACCAACCTAATAGTCAGAGGTATGCATTCATCTAACAAAATACGAATTCCACGGGCATACACGAGAGGGTTCATCCCAGTCAACAAGTCCACCATCCCGACGACGGACACAGCAAGAAGATGGCCACACCTTGAAAGAATAACCCATGAGATGGCGCCCCTGCAGAACTGCGAGGTTGGAATGCTCATTGGTTACAATTGTCCACAAGCTTTGGCACCATGAGACACAATAGTTGGACAAGATGATGAACCGTATGCTGTCAAGACTGATCTTGGTTGGACCATCGTCGGTTATGATGATCCAAGCGCCAATAGTAATGCCACAAGTGTCTGCCACCGAGTTTCAGCGACGGAGGCCCCATGTATACCTCCTTCAAATGTAATCAGAGCATTAGAAGCCGACTTTTCAGAGAAATGCCATGCAGAGAAAACTGTATTCCAAGAAGATATTCAGTTTCTTAACATCATGGAAACAAGCATTCACCAGACCAGCAGTGGTCACTACACCATGCCACTTCCATTCAGAGATGGCAAGCCAACGCTGCCAAACAACAAGAAGACGGCCATAGTTCGTCTCAATCATCTAAACAGGAAGTTTAGCACCAACCAGAAGTACCATGCTGACTACACAAAGTTCATGGAAGATGTAATAGAGAAAGGTGATGCTGAGAAGGTTGAGAGCCATGGAGAGGAAGGAAGGGTTTGGTACATCCCACATCACGGCGTGTATCACCCTCGGAAGCCTGGGAAGATCAGAGTTGTATTTGACTGTTCAGCGCGACATGCCGGAACTTCTCTGAATGGTCATCTTCTCCCCGGACCTGACCTGATCAACAACTTGACTGGGGTTCTACTTCGATTTAGAGAGCATCCCATAGCCGTCATGTGTGACATTGAGAGGATGTTCCATCAATTCCTTGTGAATGAAGAAGACCGTGACTACTTGCGGTTTCTATGGTGGGAAAATAGCGACCCCAAGCAATGGTCCAGCAGAGTATCGCATGAAAGTGCACCTGTTTGGTGCAGCTTCTTCGCCGGGATGTGCCAACTATGGCTTGAAACATTTGGCCAGTCAGCATGAGAATGAGTTCCCATTAGCAGCAACCTTTGTCAAGAGGAACTTCTACGTCGATGATGGTCTCCAAAGTACTGAAACGGAAGACGAAGCAAAGAGATTGGTGGCGGAGGCCCAAGAGTTATGTGCCAAAGGAGGGCTACGACTACATAAATTCATCTCAACCAGTAGAGAAGTCATGGAGGCCATTCCAGTGGATGAACGTGCCGCTGGAGTGAAGGATGTGGATCTCATAGTCGAGATGATCTCCCCACAGAGAGGGCTCTCGGCATTCAATGGTGTGTAGAGGCAGACATGTTCAACTTCCACATCGAAGCTAAGGATCAGTCACTAACACGTCGGGGAATCCTGTCGACGGTTGCCTCCATCTATGACCCTCTTGGGTTCCTTGCCCCATTTGTACTCATTGGCAAGGGAATTCTTCAGGAAATGTGCCACAGCGGATCGGATTGGGATGATCCACTTCCTGATAAGCTGCACCCACGGTGGGAGAAGTTGAAGGATGACCTTGTAAATCTGAAGCAAATCCAGATACCCAGGTGCTACAAGCCAAATGACTTTGGGAAGGTCATCGCCATGGAGCTCCATCATTTCTGTGATGCCAGTACAAGTGGATATGGCCAGTGTTCATATTTGCGATTCATCGGAGAAGATAAGGTGCATTGCACACTGGTGTCGGGAAAGGCCAGAGTTGCTCCAATCAAAGTTGTCACCATCCCCGCCTCGAGTTGACAGCTGCAGAAGTGTCGGTACAGATAAGCCACATGCTAAAGGAGGAATTAGAGCTAGTCATCGACAGGGAATACTTCTGGACAGACTCTCAAGTCGTCCTTGGATATATATGTAATGAGGCAAGACGGTCCAGAAAATCAGGCAGTACTCAGAGCCCAGTCAGTGGCACTATGTGCCGACGGAAGTGAACCCTGCTGATCATGCCTCAAGAGGAGTCCTTGCCAAAGAATTGGTGGCCTCAAACTGGTCCAGAGGCCCAGAATTCCTGTGGAACAAAGGGATGGTGATTGCAGAAGAGCCAGTCCGTGAATTAAGCGTCGGTGATCCAGAAGTAAAGAGTGTGACGTCCCTGCAAAGTGCTGTTACACCAGAGGTATTTGACTGGGAGGATCGCCTGTCTCGCTTCTCAGATTGGTCAAAGGTATTGGGAGCTGTGGCACGCATAAGACGACTGAATCGTAAAGAAAAAGATAACAGCCTCTCTACCCTGCAAGAACAAAAAGAGGCAGAAAAGCACATCGTAAGATCAGTACAGAGGCAGGCCTTCCCACAGGAAATCCAGTCATTGAGGTACTCAAGCAGAGTGAAGGCAATAAGTAAAATCTGCAGCCTGAATCCATTCCTGGACAATGAAGGCATTCTTAGAGTCGGTGGACGTCTGAGAAATGCAGAAGTTCCAGACAGCATCAAACATCCAGCCATTCAGCCAAAAGATGGGCATTTAACGAGGTTGCTCATCTCGTACGTCCACAACAAAGTTCAACACCAAGGAAGAGGAATGACCTTTAATGAAGTAAGAGCTGGTGGATACTGGATAATCGGAGGAATTAAAGTAGTTGCCACCCACATCCACAGATGCACAACTTGTCGTCGTCTGCGGCGCCCAGTGGAAGAACAGAAGATGGCCGACCTTCCAAAGGATAGAGTAGAGCCTTCCCCACCATTCACATTTTGTGGCATGGACTGCTTTGGACCATTCACCGTCAGGGAAGGCAGGAAGGAGATCAAGAAGTATGGAGTCATATTCACATGCATGTCCTCACGGGCTGTACACATTGAAATGGTAGATGACATGACCACAGATAGCTTCATCAATGCACTTCGATGCTTCATTGCCTTGAGAGGTCCTGTACAGCTGTTGCGTTCTGACCAGGGATCCAATTTTGTCGGAGCAAAGAATGAATTTCGAGAAGCATTGAAGGAACTGGATATGGAGAGAGTTCAAGTTTTCTTGGCAAAGCAGCAATGTCAGTTTGTCATGAACGCTCCACACTCGAGTCATGTTGGTGGCGTGTGGGAGCGTCAAATCAAGACGGTCAGAAGCGTTTTATCATCCATTATCCAGCAGTCTTCAGGTAGAGTTGACGCTGCAACCTTGCGTACATTTCTCTACGAAGTCATGGCTATTGTGAACAGTCGTCCACTCACAACAGTCAATCTTCATGATCCACTCAGCCCTGAACCACTTACACCTAATCACCTTCTCACCATGAAATGTACAGCTGCCTTACCACCTCCTGGAAAATTCGTGAAGGAAGACCTGTACATCAGGAAACGCTGGAGGAGGGTTCAGTATCTGGCTGAACAGTTTTGGGGAAGATGGAGGAAGGAATACCTCTCTTCTTTCACTTCACGTCAAAAGTGGCACACACCAAGACGAAACATCAAGGTGGGAGATGTGGTGCTGCTGAAAGATGAAGAGGCCCCTCGAATGGAATGGCCATTGGCTATTGTGATCGAAACAATAGAAAATGATGACGGCCTTGTCAGGAGAGCCAGAATACGGGTTGGCACTAAGCATCTGGACAAAGAAGGGAGACGAACAGGCAAACCGTCCATTCTTGAGCGACCAATCCAGAAGCTAAATCTCCTGCTTGAGACGAAGTAGATGGATTACCCTTCTGGCGATATCCATCCACTCATCCTGTTCAAGGCGCTTCTAGCGTAAATGCTTAAGGCATATTTTCATCTTTGACAGTTTAATATAAGGACTTTGTATGTCAACCAAAATTGTTCTGTTAGTTTGTAGACGAAAGTAGTTTAGAAATTACCATGATATACTACAGTTGTTGTTTCCAATTGCTAATTTATGTAGTTATAGTATCTTGCCATGTAGTTATATACTTGTAGATCATTGGTAATTTGGTGGGAGTGTGACAGAATCAGACAAAAGTTCCCATTTTTATTGACGCTTTTTCCCTCTAATTACTTGCATTTACTTGTTATAGAGCCTAGAATCATGCTACTACAATATACTGTTGAAGGAAGTTTCATTCCATTGTACATGTAGATAAGACATTGTATGTGTTTGGTGAACTGGCCTAGGTACTTGCTGCACACACTGGGTTGTTTATGTGCACAGCCATCTTTGTTATTGTTCAGTACATGTGCATTCTCAAGGAGGCAGCCATGTTTGTTTGGTCATGTGATCAAAGTAACTACATGTAAAACAGTCCAAACATTAAGTGAGAGGTCCTTTTTGATATTGTGATACTTTAGTTTGATTGTAATTTAGTTTTGTTGTAGACTATAGCGACTTTGAGGAAATTTTTACTTTTCCCATAATGCATTGCTTCTTGCACATGGCCTTATTTCCCCTTCAATGTGCTCAGCAGTTTGCTGCGCTGAGGATGATTTAATCCGCTTTTTTCTGCAACCATCCTAAAGTTATTTAGCACACCCACTACAGGCCCACGAGGTAAATATCCTACTTAGTAATATTTGATCAATTTTTCTCTCTTAAATGTAGGATTAAGTTAGAAAATAATGGTTTATTAAGTCATTAAGTAATTGTGTCTTTTATGCATGCATGTTATTTACTAGTATAGAAATGTAAATGTCCATTGTCATTTCTTTAGGTCATATGATATTGTGAGTCTCATTGAATAATTCCTTGTGAAGACTAAATTTACCACATTAACCTTCAAATTGTTAAAATCTATACTTATGATTATCATTGTTATTTGCTTGTCAGATCTCACGGTGTTCATCTTTGGAGACAGTTCATTGTCAACATTAAAGTCAGACATGACAGAGACATCAGTACAGATCGTGTCCGCCTTCATTTTGCTTTGGTAGTTGGGTGCAGCTACACCAAATGATGGCATCATGGCAGACGCAGGCTATAGGCAGTGCTTGCTGTTCGGCCGATGGCAGCGGGCTGCTGTCTGAAAGTGTAGTGTAGAAGCATCACAAGACTGGTGCATGCGACGCAACATGCATGGGCAGAACGACAACGTGACCACACAACGAAGCGCCTTCGTCTCCTTTCAAGGAAACGTCATGCATATTGAGACATTATACCTTGCACTTGCACACAGCACCCGAGTCTGTACGGTTTTGGTTCGAACGTTGTTACGTCTTCATGTGAGACTATCATAACCGTTAAATTTAGGCGGGAATAGTCGACGCACTTGAATTGTCTGTCCACGCTAAACCTAGGCGTGAGTTATTTGACAACGCAAGTGCATAAGTCTGACACACATTTCAGTCAACCAACGTTGAGTCAACCTACGCTAAACCTAGGCGTGAGTCATTTGACAACTAAAGTGCATAAGACTGACACACTTGCTAGATAAAGAAAATGAGTGAAGTTACACACACTACCAGGTTAGTAGATATTTTTCCATACAAATGTAGGTTTTTTTGACGCACTTATCAAATAACACTGACGCAATTGACAAACTAGAACTATGTGGTTGTGAGTGAACAACCACAGAGCTGTTTCTAACATGTTTTTGATTGTCTATTGCATAGTACAAAAATAATTCAATGATTTTTTTTTTCAAAAATCTGTGACTTTCAAAAGCAATCTGTGACTTTAAAAGCATTTTTAATGATAATTAGGGTCTAAACTTAACACTTCTGGTAACACCATAAGTAAGGGTTACATGACCTTGACATACCAATTTTCATTGATAACACTTCCCTGTCTATATACCTACAATGTTTGAGATTAATCAGTCAAATGGTTCTTCAGTTATAAGACTGTAAACATGCATCATTAAATATTCAGGACGTCATAACGTGAATACAATATACTGCTAATTAATAATAATGCAACATATTTATCCTTTAAGGTTGCTTAATGCTAGGTGTCAACCCCATCGAATTTATAATTCATTAGATATGCTAATAAGGGTCTAAAATTAACACTTCCGGTAATACCGGAGGTAGGGGTGACATGACCTTGACATATCAATGTTCTATCTATAACGCTTCCCTGTCTATCCACCTACCAGGTTTGAGATCAATCGGCCAAATGGTTTTATAGTGATAGGAATGTAAAAAAATTCCTCATTAAATATTCATGACGTCATAACATGACAATAATTAAGGGCACAATAATAATAATGCAACATAATTATCTGTCGATATAGCTTTGTATTAATGTGAAGTTTCAACCCAATCAGAATAATAATTCATGAGATATGATATAGGGGTCTAAAATTACCACTTCCGGGAAAACTGGAAGTGAAGGTCACGTGACCTTGACATATTAATTTTTTTTTATTAATTTTTTTTATCTGTGTAAATATGTTTGTAGTTCTCCATTGAAAATGTATTTTTGTTTTCCTGGAAAATGCATTTTTTTTTAAAGAGGGGGTGAATTGTCACAGTAAAACCACCCTTCTCTTGTATATGTGACTATTTAATAGGTAGTGTGAATAATTCTGGTTTTTTTTAACCCTTGTATAAATATGCATGAGTGGATCAGAGCCCAAACCTAGCCAGCCGTGGTTGACTGATCAAGATAACAATAAGAACACATTCCACACACAATACCTCTAGGAGCATCTTCCATGTACCCACACGCACACAATACACATCCCTGGTATCTCCACTCTGGTAAGGTAGATATTGTGCATATTCATGAGCTTTGGTTTAAATAAGAATGGGGATGAAGTTAAGTTTGAATGAGTGTGAGGAAATGAGACGGTAATTTAGTGGAAGGTTGCTGGAATTTGAAGGGAAAGTGAGGTAGTTGTCTCCATGATTCTGAGCTGTGTACATGTACATGTATTTGCGCCATCACTCTGCTCTGCTGCAGTGATTTTTGATACTTTAGGGTAATTCAGGCTCTAAGATCTTTACATCCAAGCAATCTGGCTTTTGACAATCGCAGTGCAGCCAACATTTAAGATCTTCAGAGTGCTTTTCAAGCAAATTTGTGCTTGAATGTGTTTTTAACTTTGGCGTGAGGGAGACAAGTCAGCAACATCGACCAGCAACCGTAAGTTGAAGATTTAATTGTTTTCATGATTAATTAAAAGAAAAGAAGATATTGTATTCCCTTCATTATAGTTATTGTTGTGAGATTCACCAGGATTGAGGATTGAATCTAGAATTTTGAATTGTTTGAGATAAAGTTGATTGGCTATATATTATGAGGATTGTTGCATACCGGATGTATATATTAGAAGTTGATTTAATTGTGTTAATTTAAGAATTAAAAAAGTCTAAGTAACATGAGATCGAAGTATAGAGTAGTACAGTTGATATCATTTTAGGATTAGCTTTGAAGAACATTTGATTGGTGATTCGGCCTGTATTTTGTATAGTGACTCAAAATTATTGTGAGAGTTTATTAAAATTATAAATTTACAGACGGCCTAATCTGATCCTCTAACTGACGAGGCTAGACGCACGAAGGCGACGCCATAGGCACTGAAGTCAAGCCAGAGGGTTGAAGACAGCTTACAGCAGCAGCATTTCCAGTGTCTATAACCGTGGAGTGGGCGGCGAAAACTACCAGGAAGAAGTCAGTTGTTTTCATGCCTGCATTTATGTAAATGTCTTTTGATAGTAATGTATTAGTGTATTTCGAATTTGTAGTAACGTGAGGACGTGAAACGTCACCAAAAGTTGGATAAAATATTCAATTTAAATTTGTGACTTCGTTCATACAGACCCTGCGGGGAGTGGAGTTACAGAGAACTTAATAATTTGTTATTCAGTGAAGATTAAGGAGTTTGTCTTCATAAATTGTGGAGAAGTTTAATTTAATAGTGTGCAGAAGGTTGTGAATCTTGGGTAGATTCAACCGTTCGTAATAGTGTAATATTGTTTTGTGTTGGATATTTGACCAGTGTGATTGAATCCCGTATTCATTTGTACTTTGGATGTGATAGTCCAACACAGCTGTGATATTTTCTGTTTATATATTTGATTACAATTTACAAGTGGTGCATGTGAGAGTAATTAACTCAAGCTTGAGGTATTGTTGTAAGTAGGAGTGATTTTTAAATTAATACATTAATTCGGAGAACAGAATAATATATGGACATTGTTTTATTTACCATTGTCTTTGAACATTTTAAGAGGAAGGTTAACTGGATCTGACAATCTATAACACTGCCCTGTCTGTATAACTACCAAATTTAAGATCAATCAGTCAAATATTTCTATAGTTATAAGGCTGTATAAATATATGTCACGTGATCCCTGATGAAGTCACGATGACCAAAAGTTTCGGCATACATCTTCAGATGATTGTTAAAAACTATGCCAAGTTTAAAGTTGATCGGATTTAAATTAATTGCCGAAGTGGCTTGTAGAATAAATACGTGTACAAAACCTATAGGACAAGTGGAAAAAGAAACTAGATATGCTGATTGTCAACGGACAATGCAAGCGGCTTTTCCGCCTTTATATATTTTCAAAGGTAATGTTTTTTTTTTTACCATTATGCAAGTTTGAACCATATCAGCCTTCTGGCTCTCTGGATATTCCAGCATAAAATTAACATATTTGTGATGACGTCATCAAACCCATGATGACGTCTTCATGACATTTTGCACAGGACACCTTTTCTTGTAAGTTACTTTATATCTGTAAAGTTTCAATCTAATTTGACTTTCAGTAGTGCCAAAAAACTGCCAAGAAGATTAGCAAAAATTAAATTTTAAAAAATTCATAAAAATCAAAGGATGACGTCATCATGACGTCATTTCATATTTTTGGTACGGATGTCATACTGCACCTTTCCACTAAGTTTCAACATAATCAGAAACTGCCTAATGTATTTTTCAAAAAATCTCAGTTTTACACAAATTTGGCCCAAACAGGAATATTTAGTGCTAACACGTAACCTGCTGCAAAAAGAATTTCAAAAATATCTTGTTTGGCTCAAAAGTTACATGCAAATAAATGTTAAAATCGTAAAAATTGAATTATTCATAAAAATTCAAATGATGACGTCATGATAACGTCATTTAAATTTTCATCTACAACACATCCCAGTCTACCTATGTACCAAGTTAATACCCAATCGAACTTACCGTTCTGAAGATATAGGGCTTTGAAATATGCAACTTTGCAATGACGTAACATGACAAATGATTACGTCATCATGAAGTCACTCATCGGCATACATCTATGCGATACGGACTATGCCTATGCCAACTCCGCATTATGATTTGTTTTTATCAATAATACTCCCTGACTATGCATGAACATATTATTCGTCAAAGTTAGCCGGAAATCGGCTAAAACGGTCACTGTGGACAGGATTTGACCTCGGCAACAAGTTCGCTGCAGGCTGACTGACATACGATATGTACAACGTACGTGCATGTACATGTACATTGTGGACGTCCTGTGCATGTTTTAAAGCAGAGGTAACTGCTTTAATGTCAACCTGAAGTTTTAAGCGTGCGCAGGGCACGTCCGAGTTTGCTTATTGCCTCTAAGCTTTGAAATCTTTTAGACCTACCCTTCAATCGACAATTAAAGTAAAATCTAATATAACAACTGCCATGGTTGATTTTTCAGAAATTTTCAAAGGAAAAAGGGTCTTTTCATTATAAATTCCGGTCTGATGACGTCATACACCTAAAACTTCGCACACGTCCTAAGTGGGTCAAGGTCATCATATACACCAATATTTAGGCGATTCCGACAAACTTCGCCACAGACATCTAATTAAAATACATTTATGAAAATTTTCAACCTGTCGCTAGAGGGCGCTCGAAGATTGCATGACGTCATTGGTAGATGATTTGAAGAATACAATGTACTTTCAGCCAAGAGACTAACACCGTTGA